TTAGGCCAGCATTTGATCACTAGACCCTCATCTGATCACTAGACACGCATCTGTCACTAGGCCCGCATTAAAAGATATACATAAGGAAAATCAAAAGGAATTAGACAACAGTATACAAGAGTGACTGCTTAAGTTTTTTTTTTAAAAAAAAACTAAAAAAAATGAACACAAAACGACCAGCTTCAAAAAAAAGGACTCGTAACTGGAAAAACCGAATGAAAAAAGAATGTTAGCAAGAAATACTTTTTCACACCCAACCCAGTTCTGCGGAATCAGAATCAACGTTGAGTTTAAGCAAGCCAATGAGCCAATTGGAGTAAAATGCCATGCGGATTTCAACTTTTCCCACTTATGACGAATGCAGCTATCGATTTTTTTTTTTGCTTGCTAGCGTGCTAGTTAACATTCGTGTCAATCAGCTGTTGGCTCTCACGCTGGCCAATAGCTTCTTCCAGCCTATTCGTGGCAGCCAACTATTGGCTCTCACTCTGGCCAGTACAAAATGGCCGTAAACTACATGAAAACTGCCTTAGAAGCATGAAAAAAATCGATTATTTCCACTATCAATGGGAGTTGGAAAATGCAAAGTCGGTCTTGGCCTTACCACTAACTTGGAGCATGTTCATGTAAATTATGGTGCAAATCCGTCGAAAATTGCGACCGTGCATTCGTTACGCACACACATCCTGCCTTTTTTTATATATATATATATATATATATATATATATATATATATATATATATATATTAGCAACATAACCCGTCTTCGACCGAATCTTTCATTACTGGGAATTTTTGCCGTTCAATTAGAGCAGTTAAAGTTTAAAGAGCCTAACCGAAAATCAATATAAGTAATAAGATTTGGGTGCAACTTAGATACATCCCCAAATGGTGGACTTAGCAATTTGAATTGGGTGTGGCAGTTCTATGGGGGAAAAGCTTTCTAAATTGCACTTCCTCTTTATAATTGGAAAACAAAGAAAATTAGATCGTTTCAACTTAAGCAAGGCGCAAATGCCACTAGGAGGCAGATGGTTACATGGTGTGAATATACGAGAAAATCCTGAATATTGAGGAAAGTAGAAAAGATGAAGTTGATGTAAGAAGATAGGAGATGGCGATTGACATTGAATTAATATTTTTGAAGATTGCAATTTTCAGGAAAGCAAGGAAACGGAAGGGAGTTTCCCAGGCGGGAAGTGCGAGCAAAGAAATTGTTGGAGTAGAATTGGCGGGTGAATTTAGCTATTTCAACAGTAAAAGGGTGGGATCTAGGTGCTAATCTCGTAGCACGTTCAAATTGATGTAGTCAGGGCACCAGGGGAAAAGCTTGTCAGAGCAGTTGGCATAAAAATATTTGTAGAAAAGACAGAGGGAAGCCACACCGGTGAGAAAGTCAGTGAAGTCGAAATGAATGGTCAGGTTGCTTACATTACAGATTCTTCTTCGGATTGCAAGAGGATTGTGACAAGAAAGGGTTTTCTGGAACGACACAATGTCTCAACTTACCTTGCAGTTTCGATTTAGTCACTCCACTTTAAGTCAGTAGAAAACATGAGCCCAAGAAGGTGTAGTGCGTTGATGGCACGCAGAAAAGTTTCTTTACGGTAGCTAAATGAGAGAAATTTTGTTTTGGAAGCGTTAAAATTTACAGGCCATTTCCTGCCCGAGTTAACCATTGATTGGAGGTCCTTCTCAATAGCAACAACCAGGTTTGCTTTGTCAGCTCTGACGGATTTGCTATCGAGGCAGAATTAAATGGTAGTGTCAACTTCATAGATGCCTACTTGCGATGATCATGGATGAAGATCAGAAACAGCGTGACTCTGAACGAAGCATACCAACTCCTAGCCAGAAAGGTTTGAAGCTGTTGTACTTTAAGTGGCTATATGAATTCTGTCATACTAAAATGTTATGAAACTTTGTTCGCATTAGAGTGACAGATATATGTTGCAAGTTCTACCCACTGAATAGGAAGAACCTGTATACTGTTTCAGTACCTTCGATGACTGTTATGTTACAAGAGACATACGTGACAATTCACACGGGATAATATAATATTGAAAGACAAGATAATATATTAAAAGTTTATAAAAATTGACAAGGCAGAAAAATCACTCATGACAAAGAATAATTCATTTAAGTGACTTCAAAGCGAACTTAAACGTATTTCATGAAAATAATATTTGATTTTTGCAACTAGACATTTCTTGATAGGCTTCGCATTATTATAAAACTATAATTAACTTTCAATGGAAAGAAATAAAAAAAGAAATATATATATATATATATATATATATATATATAAGTTATCATTTTTCTGAATTTGTTTTCAGTTCATCACATCAAAATCTTTGAGGCATGCAATAAAGCCATCAATTTTCAGCAAATGTTTCATCAAATTCATTCGTGCTCGAAATGAAACAAGTCTTAGTATTTTTCTTCTGAAAAGAATATTAGATTTAACGCCAAAACGTTAACATTAATGTCGGCTTCATTTCCAAAGACATATAATTAAACAGAATGTTTTCTCTTCGGTCTCCTGGGTGTCTGATTGCATTAAATTACGAAAAATGATAATTAGTAATTTATTACGAATCTCAAGTTAATTTTGATCATCTTCATTGTTAGGCTTGGATAGAAAATCTAACAATTATTTATTTTCATCACTTCATTACTTATTTTCTATCTTTAGAATTAAAAGCTAACAATTACATATTTTCATCATCGTTAATCATTTTAGAATAAATATAATGTTTAACGAAGAGGGATGTGAGAAAGGGGTGCCACTTTCAAATTACAGTCGAAGACGTCACGTTCACTTTCTCAAAAATTCCTTTGGAAAGGTGTGAATCCATAGGAAAAGACATCTTTAAATTTAAATCCAGATCGGAGTGAATCTACAAACTCAACCTATTTGCTACGAAAACTGTAGCAATAACGCTTAATGTGGTGAGCCATACACTGTGCCTTACATGTATATGAAGGCATAGTGCACTTACTTGTAGTACAAAATTCAGTAAAACAAAATAAAAGTGCGATAAGCTCTCAGTGAGTTAAAGAAGAGACTTGAAGCATTAGAAATGTAAGTCTACGGAAGACAGATGAGAATTCCATGGATTGAATATGTGAGTGATGAAAAAACGGAAGCAAAACAACAAAGCGACAATTAAACTTTCTCGGACAAATAATGAGGAAGGATGATTTGGAGATGTTGTCAGTCACAGGATATATTGACAGCAGGAGAGACACTGAGAAACAACAAGTACCTAATGATCTTGCTGAAATTGATGTCAAGACAAAGTGTGTGAGGGATGGAGATGGGACAAAGCTTACTGAGAGCCGCAAGGGATAGGAACATGTGAAGAACCGTGATCAGACACACCCTGAATTTTCCTCGTGGAAAAAGGTGGTCTGAATTTCTGACCGTTGTTTTCCAATGAGTTAAATTTTTTGTCTTCTAAGAGTGTATTTTATTGCTTTTCATGTTCTTGTTCAGTTTTATTGAACTTTTTAACTGATTTATTTTTCAACATTTAATTAAATTGTAGACAAGATATGAATTCAATCCCCTATTTTACATTATTTTTAAAGCATTTTATTTGACATTAATTACTTTGCTTTACAAGACCATTATGAATTACAGTGTTCTTTATTAGTACTTCTGCTAATGTCTTTCACTCTGTATTCCATTGTGCATAATGTCTCATACAAAATTAACCACTTCATATTTTATAGTTCTATAATATAAATAATTATTCTAATATCAATGTCTGCTTGTTTACTGATGGTATCATCTGTCTGCACAATTAGGATGAAAATTGGTTCGTCCTGCGCAGGTGCAAACCAATTTTTATAAAATGTCCTTACGAAATATTGAATTAATAGCTATGTCGGGAGTTTGATACTTAAAATAGTTCTTAAGGCTGATTTGATGGATAAAGAAATCCTGCAAATGATCAATCAATTCTGGAAATTGAAAAGAAATATGATTTGCAGCTTTCCAAAAACTGAGATTCTGGACGAATGAGATTCTTGTTTAATAAACAAAGAAAAAAAAAAACCACCGTCATCACGCTATGGAAACGTTGTATTTTAAGCGTTATCATATTGATGAGACAAAATATAATAGTGATCTAAACTGTTCTACTGAGGCTGCTCCCAGAGAGGAACCCGGGCAAGGCTGTGCCGAAGGGCAGAGTTTCGTCCGGGGAGGGATACACAGATGAACCCATTTATGCGGGTTCTAAGGGGATATCTTGGTCGATGACTCGCGTTAAACTCGACCTTGTTCCACATATATCTCTCGTGGTGGTGGTGGGGGGTATTAAATATTAACAAAATATCCTAACTCTTAATCAAGTGGCAAACATTTGGGATTGATCACTAGGCCCGCATTTGACCCCTGGACCCGCATCTGATCACTAGACCCGCATATGATCACTAGACCGGCATCTGATCTTTAGGCCCGCATCTGATCACTAGACCCGCATATGATCACTTGACCGGCATCTGATCACTAGACCCACATTTGATCACAAGGCCCGCAGCTGATCACTCGGCGCGCATTAAAAGATATACATAAGGAAAACCAAAAGAAATTAGACAACAGTATACAAGAGTGACTGCTTAACTTTTGTTTTTATCAGCGACGAATATATGTTACAGTGAACGGTTCAGAAAGAAGGGATAAAATTTGCGTGACTCGTGGTTGAGGTGTTAGTAGGTTACATCCGGTGTGATGCCCTAGTCGAGATTTTGGTTCATGAAGTAGAGGCCCCATAGCGAATTCAAAATAGTGTTAAAATCAGAGACAGACTGAATTTTCGAAGGCACACGAGAAATCATGCGTTTAGGAATTCAAGCACTTTCAATATGAAGATATTTTTCCATATCGATAGCTGTGTTATATCATGTGAAAGCACAACTGACATAATGCAGGAATTAAAAGCAGGCTAAAAATTGCAAAAGGAATATTTATTTTTTCTTATTTAAAACAGGTGCGCGTCAGCCGACCACCGCAGGTCTGCTGGACGATCACCGGCGTCACTTGGACGACCACCGCACGTCTGCTGGACGATCACCGGCGTCACTTGGACGACCACCGCACGTCTGCTGGACGATCACCGGCGTCACTTGGACGACCACCGCACGTCTGCTGGACGATCACCGGCGTCACTTAGACGACCACCGCACGTCTGCTGGACGATCACTGATGATTTTTATAATGGACAGAACAATGGCGAGATTTGAAATGTTTAGTCTATAAGTATTCAGTGTATCCACGAGTTCTCATGTATATAGACAAATGTTAATGAAGGCATTTAAAAATAAGTATGCTTTGTGTAACATGTTAAATAGACTCGTATTACAGAATAACTACTTAAATAGATACATATTATCTAAAATAATAAAAGTATATTATAAGCGATGTATAAGTTGCTTTCTTGTACAAATATGTCCTCATCTTCAAACAGATTCCTCAATCTAAGCTACAGACCATTTCTAATAGTCAATTACAAAACAAATGTATTTCACAGTGGATATTGCAGTACTATCAGACTGAAATTTATTGAAAGGGAAGAGTAATAAAATATATATGAACCTGGCAAAAAATGAATAATTAGTATATACTAGTGAACCTGTGCTGTAAAAATGACGTCAATTACTAGAAAGTTCCCATAATAAAATGCCATGAAACGAAATCTTGAAACAATGTATTGAGAATCAATAAGGCGGAATTAAATAATTGACAACTAAAATAAAGGCCAATTAACCGTTTAATTAACCCGTTTTCTTTATAGTTTTTAGACGTTCAATATTATCGACGATTCATTGATTACTACTGGCATTATACACATTGGTTTCTGCCAATATATTTTCTTGTTAAAAGTTTTATCTGTTCGATATAACATTAAAATAGAAATATCACTAAGAAGAAAAAAGATGAGCAACAGAACAACAAAAACGGCGATAACAAAGACGATTTCAAGACCAAGTTGAAGCAGGATGATTAATTAATATGTAACGATATCTGAGTACCTGACATGAAAGGCTAGAACAAATAAAACTGCAATCTCAGAAACGTAAGAGTAAAAGATATGATTAATTAAACAGTTTATTTTGTTCGAGAACTAATTATGTCTAAACGCAGATAAATTTATATAGATAACTAAACGACTAAGGGAATAACTCATGAATGTACTAATTTAATTTGATTTACCGCCTTTTTGTTAAAGATAGAATAGAAAATATATAAATAAATACACAGTGATAATTATTATATGGTTTGATGTTACCTTTTACTGTTACACCTATCAATCTGCACTGGTGACGCTAGGTGACACTTCGTTGTTAGGGCAATGGCTGGGAAGTGAAAAGACCAACTCTGTGAATGACTAGATTACAACAACAATAATAACTGAAATTATATTTAAAGACTCACGTATGGAAACCTTCCAATAATAACAATGACGTAATAAAATATCGACTTCATATACGCCATCAACGGCAGGGGTAAATTAGTACACATTACGATAGAGAAAATCCACCCTCATTTGTTCATGTTAAGCTTTTTAATAGAGTAATAGGTAGGTTATGTGTGGTTAGGGTTACGGATAAAGGAGCCGAAAATAGAATGGATGAACCGAGATCAAGTTCTCTGCTAATCTGTTCCGTTCACGATCATCCTAAAGACGTTGGGAAAGACGAGTCATGCGAGTGGTGTAATAGATAATGGCTCAGGATGACAAATTCCAGTCCGGTTTCGTTAGATTCGCTTACTGGAAAACAACCTTGTGAAAGGTATGAATCCATCTGCTCCCACCCACCACATATTGATCAAATAGTAGGATTTGCTTCTGGCAAAAAACATTGTTAAAATCAAAATTCGTTAAAGTGAAGCATTTACTCACCAAACAAAAAAAATAGAAAACAGATTTATTCTTATAATCCAATTACGTGTCGGTTTTAAGTAAACCACAAAATGTTGGTAATCCATAAAAATGAATGAATCAGTTGTCCAGTGATAATCTGGCAAGAAAGTTTAACACACACACACACATATATATATATATTTATGAAGAAGAAATATAGTTTTAAGTTGTGCTACATTTATGCGATAAAGTGCTCAATATCAGAGACAGAGCCTATGTAAATATGAATATAAAAGTGAACACTGAAGTCAACGCACAGAGGACACAGGCTGTTTCATGTTGAATGCAATCGAATTGATTTGCGGCCTGGCGTTTGTGTTCAGCATAAAACAGCCTGTCGCCTCTGAGTGTTGACTTTAATGTTCACGTTTATATATATATATATATATATATATATATATATATATATATATATATATATATTAATTTAAGGCCTGGAGTAAGGCAACAGAAACACAGCCTATTATTTTTCTCAAGTTTTTATTGCAATTTACAGCTAATAAATAAAAGTCATCCACGTAGAGGCATGGTTGACTTCGTTCTGAGTAGATAATGCTTTAAAAAGGAATTATGTCAAAAATATTTGTTCTAGAAATGAAACCAAGGAAGATAGTTCGAATACACCATGAGGCATGAATTCAACTCTCCCTTTCTTTCCCATTGTTGTTAACGCACATGACGATTTTCTCACTGACATGTCACAATCGTAAACCATTTGATTTTCTTCAGTTACTTAATCTTCCTATAAAATGAAAACAAAATGTCTGCTATATCTATTGCCATTTTCAACAAGCGGGAACCTTTCAACATTAGGCACTAGACAAAATATTTTCATTAATTGGCAGATTTCTTTATTTGTGGTAATGACTATTGTTATGGGATGTGCGGGTGGTGTAATGAATATCGATAAGAACTCAGCGGTCCAAGTTCAAAATCCAGTCGAGTTCACTTACGCGCAAATATGTTTTATTGGCTTACGGCCATATCACGATGAAACTCGTTGAAAGTTAAGCAACGTCGAGCCTGGTCGGTATCTAGCTGGGTCACCGCTTGTGAATAGTGAATTGTGTAAGCTTGGATTTGCAGGTGGCGTAATGGATAACCGCACGGAGTTGGATAACAGGCAGTCTCGTTCCAATTCCAGTCAGGTTCGTTATATTTACTAATGTGAAAATAGCGCAGGAAAAAGTGTGAAACGACCTCTTCTCCCCCAAATATGGGTTAATTAGTCGGACTTGAATCAGTAAAATATTACTATATCCAAAAACCTTTTTACAGCTCAAAATGTTTTCTGGCTTTTAATAATCTGAAAAATGTTGATAACCCATAGAAAACAAACCAATCACTCGAACAGAAGAATTCCTCTCTCTCTCTCTCTCTTTCTCTTTCTCTCTCTCTCTCTCTCTCCCGCCAATGCTATGGGTAGTGGTTGGAGCGGGAAAAATTGCCAAAAAATTGTTAATGCAATATTCACTCGTAAAAAAAGTTAATTATTCATACAATCTCAATGTTTCGGCTTTAGATAAAAAAAAAGAAAAAAAAAGGTCCATCAATCAATATCTACCGCTATGAATACGATTACGCAGTGAAATTATTATTACAGCATTGAAAAAACATACTTAGCAAATATTCCCGGATAATGTCAGCTAAAGGATAATAGAATTAAGACAAGGTTTCTTAACTTGACAAACTTTAATGAAAATGAACTGTCAAATTAGAAAAAAAGGTAAAAAAGGAAATTATGAAAACTATGAGCTTGAGGTATATTTTCTTGATTTATATAGTTTAGTATATACGTCCTTGTCATTTTTAAAGCCCTCCTTTCTCATTATATGTCGAAGGTTTTTTTTTCCTGATTTCCTACTCTTGAGTCGGGTTTGAAGGAGAAGTAGATAGATAGATAGATAGATAGATAGATAGATAGATAGATAGATATTAGGTTGAGTTATAAATAATTTCAGATTATTTGTTCCGTATATTTTATTCCCATATTTTTTGGCAAGAATTTGTTGTCAGGCAACTCTTCAATACGCTTGATTAAAATCCCGCCTGTTTTGACATGAGAAAAGTTTTAGATCTACTCTTGAGTCTGGATTGAAGGAGAGAATGTTTACTCCATTCAAAAAGTTTTGTATCGATCGACAAAGATCAGACTCCGTTGATTCAATATCTGTTGAATTTGTCACCTTTTGTAGAACAGCTCAACCGTGTTCACAATTATTTTCTTGTGTTATTTTTACTCTATACGACGGAACGTTTTCATAGATTGTTGTAGAGTAGTTTTCACAGTGGCGGCTTGTATTTCAATAAATCGTCCTAAATTAGGTTCGACCTACAAAACGTTAGGAACTTGAAATAAGAGTTAATGACACAGTAATCTAGTTGTGATGGTTGATACTTCAATGTCCGACAGACTCACTCAACACCATTGAGCCCAACTGGCCACTGCTACTACTACTTATTATCTGTGGGAGAGTCTATTACAATAGAATAGGTATTATGGTATAACATAGAGAGGATCATTTTCTTGTTGATTAGTGAAGGATGCTTTTCGTTGCCATTATTACTTCTTGCTTACGTGCTCCGTCAAAGGGATTCTCAATATCCTTCTGTAGACCCATATTTCTGCTGCCTCTAGATTTTTTTTTCTCATCAAAGGGGAAATTATCAAATGTTCACTGCTATATAAGAAGATGGATATCATATATCAACCCAATATTCATTTCTTTGTTTCTAACGAATTTTTTTCCGTGTCTCAGCACTTTGTAGAGCTTTTGGAATGCATCTTTCGCTAGCCCAATATGTGTTCGGATCTCGGTGTAACATTTGAAAGTATGATGGCCAAAAGTAAACCTCGAGTAACCACCAGACAGTATATAATTGTGTGCATGAAGGACTGAAGATGAATAGAAAAGGAGAGTAAGGGCGAGAAATACTGCTTTGAGCTACAAAGGATAGGAAGATGAGGAGAGCCATAATTTACTACATCTCGATGAGACCCTTCACATGAAAACAAGAGTATTAGTATTTGTTCAATTTGAAGACAGTATTTAGAAATATTTTCATGTAATTAAATCATTTAATTTGTTGCTTTTTATGGACAGAATAAAACTTTAAACAAGGAAATTATATTAAGTCAATAAAAAAACGAAAACCGGGTTGTACATATTTTTTTATTATTTTAAAATATTTTTACATGGACGTGTTTTTAGCATGACTAGCGAAGACGATAAAAAACATGTCTACCTTACCAATAATTCAAGGCAATAAAATTTATATATTATACAATTACGTTCTGTATAAATGGAAAAATCCAACAAAAATTACACTTGAA